GCATCATGTATTTATGCATTGCTTAATCCAAAGAGCTGAAGCGCCATTCGCACAGACTGCATTTAACATATGAGACGCTGTGAAAAGGAATAAACCTCCACAAATTCGTGACGTGTTTTCTAAATGTTTCAACTGTTTTAACTTTGCATGGCTTTCTATACATCTCTTCTGTGAGACGCGAGTGCAGCAGTCATATTTGTCCGTCTAAAAAATGCGCTGAATATGCGTTCTGTGTGAATGGCTTAGTTTTGGATTTAACCCATTCAAGATCTTCTCCGCATTGAGCTTCTATATTTCTCTAATATTTTGAATGAATAACGCAGCAGCGGCGCATCTCGTGGGCTAGACTAACAAAACATTAAAATGCAACCACGTCACTTATATCACCGCATCTCGAGCGCCACTGATGACGCTCCCTGATGCACACCTAACATTCAAATGCAAATGTTTATTTTAAATTCGACTAATATTCATTCTTTATTCACAATCTCCTCATCACAGGCAGGCACAGCACTCATTTCAGCATGTTCGTGTTTGTGTGTGCTGTCTGCGTTAGTGCGTGCCTATTTCGTGCGCTATATTGAACAATTTTTCTAGCGATATCGAAGAAGGTGTACCGTCGATAAATATTGATACCGTTTTATCGCCCAGGCCTACTTCATAGACATCCTTTTTCTGGACACAGCTCTATTCACACCCTGTGTGGTATTGGCTTTTGGTATCGGGGCATTTTTACGAGTACAGGAGCGCAGTATCGGGCCCGATACCGATACCAGTATCGGTGCATCCCTAAAAATATCTCTCTTCTATTGTAATGCATTTTAAAATGTAATTTATTCCTGTGATGCAAATCTGAATCACTCCAGTCTTCAGTGTCACATGATCCTTTAAAAATAGTTCTAATATGATGGTTTGGTGTTTAAGAAATTTTCTTAATATTATTATTAAGGTTGAAAGTCCTTGATGAATAAAAGTATTAATTTATTTACAAAAAATATTACTGATCCCAAACTTTTTAACAGTAGTGTGACTCTGACAAGGAATGCTTGTTTTGTACCCCACTGACACGAGATGTTCACCTAGTAATAGATGATAAAACTGTAAAAATCTCATTGACATATTTTGACAGAGGACCCCATTCTTTGTAACCTGGGCCAGTAGTCAACACCCTAG